TGATTTTTGGGTAGGCTGCAATGGCATGGTTCTTTTTTCTTTTCTGATTTTTGTATGATAGCATGGTTCTTATGAATTTAATACATTTGATTTTTTGGGCATGCTGCAATGGCATGGTTCTTATTTTTTCTAATTCTTGTCTAATAGCATGGTTGTTATGAATGTAATACATCTGATTTTTGGGCTGGTTGCAATGGCATGCTCTTTTTTTTTTCTGATTTTTGTTTGATAATAGTTCTCATGAATTTAATACATCTATTTTTTGGCCAGGTTGCAATGGCATGGTTCTTTTTTTTTTTTTGTCTGATTTCTTTTTTTCTGATAGTGGTTCTTATGAATTTAATATATCTGGCTTTTGGGTTGGTTGCAATGGATGATAATGCGTGTTCCATAGAAGGTGATAGCAACTTACACTTTGGTGACACTAGTGATGCTGATTATGAAGCTGGAATGAGTGAAAATAATACTAATTCAGAATGCTGTGCTACTTTAGTTGAAGAGGAGTGTTTGTTTACCATTTGTGATAGAAGTGGCATTAATGAGGGTGAGGTTGATTATCTATCAAACTATGAGCCACCATATGAATATGAGAGTTTAATTGGATCTGATGATGAAAGACACAAAAAAGATATTCCTTAATGGGATGAGGAGAAACCGGAATTGGCAGTTGGGATGATGTTCAACAACAAAAGGAATTTTAGATGGGCAATTAGAGACTATTGTGTTTTCAAGGGGGTTTCTCTAATAAGGGCTAAGAATGATCTTGATAGGTGTATCTATAAGTGTGCAGCAGAAGGTTGTCATTGGCGGATCTATGCATCAACTGTACAAGATGATATTACCTTCATGGTAAAGACATTACACTGTGAGCACACATGTCCTAAGTTGACTGTAAACAAGGAAGCTAGTTATTCTTGGATAGCTAGAAAGATAGGAGATAGGATACAGACAGATCCTACAATGTTAGCTAGGGCCATGATTTCTTATTTGAGAGAGAAATATGATGTGGATATTAAGCCTCAAAAGGTTTACAGAGCTAAACGAAAGGCGATGGAGCAAATTGATGGCACGCATAAGGAATTGTATCAGAAGTTGCCAAACTATTTGTGAGGCCATTTTGACTTGAAATCCTGGGAACATTGCTAGAATTCATGTTGATAGGGTATCATTATCAATACCTGGTGTTTTCAAGCGGATTTTTGTGAGTTATGGTGAGATGAGGAATGGGTGGTTATCAGGACGTAGGCGATTTATTGGATAGGTTGGGACCCACTTAAAGGGTTGACTTGGTGGTGTCTTGCTTGCTGCAATTGGTCTTCATAGTGACAATGGTTTGTTTCCTATAGCAGTTGGTGTAGTTGAGATAAAAAACATTCACGGTTGGAAATGGTTCATGGACATTACAAGAAAATAGGGCAAAGGCGGCGATTTAGAGCCGGCGGTCTTGAAGACCCCCGCCTATGAAAAGAATAAGGTGGTGGTTTAAAATAGACCGCCGCCTAGAAAACCAAAACATTCACGCGACTATACTAGGTGGCGGTCTTTCCGTTGTTTGTAACATTGAACCGCTCTGAAGGATTTTACATTTAGGCCTCAAGTGACCTATTTTACATCTCGGAAGGATTTTCCTCTTTGAAGACCTCCTCTAGCTCTCCACTTTTTCTTCCTCTCTTCATTGCTTCTCTCTTCTTACTCCCACTCATCTCATCATAGAATCGAAGCGGAGATCATTTGAATCAGGTTAGAGAATGTACCTCTTTTTTTTTATTTATTTTTCAATGGTAAAGCAATAAAAATTTGTTCCATATTTTAACTTTGTTATATCTGTATTTTTTTTTCTTCAATGGCATATTTGTTTTTTTTCTTCAATGGTAAACCCTATAGATAGAATCGCTCATAAGGTTCTTTGGTTAAAATCGTTTGAAGTGTTCTATACTCTTTTTTAATTTCTTCTTAATTTCTCTTCTCTCTAGTTAAAAGTCATTTGAAGTTCTTAGGGTTCTCTGTCTGCTGCAAAGATTGCAATGGAAATCATGCACAAGAGGCCCTTTGTTTGCCAAGTTCAAGTTTCCTGGTCACCAAAAGATCATTGTCGAAATGAGGTGGGGTGGGGTTTCGCCAAGTTTAGCCATATTGATTATCTTAAGTGGAAGTCAGAGAACCAGATTGTGCTAGATGGTGTTAATGCATGCCAAGCTTCTTGGTTGTCATGGACCTCTACGGAACGTCAACCTAGAAGAGCATTTTTGCCAGCAACTGCTTAGGACATGCATTTTGTTTGCTCTAATTTTTTTTTTTTTTTTTTTTTTTATGGTATAAGTTTGCTCATTGGATTCATGGTTTTAATATCTCCTAGGAATTTTCTTCATGAAATGGACTTGAATTTTCCTTTATTACTACATCTTGTTTTATTTGACTGGAAAGTGTCCATTGGATTTTTATTCACTGTCATTATTAGCTCTTGATTTGATCTTGTTTGTGTTAGAGAATTTCATTATATAAAAAAAGTTTTAGCCAACAATTTTAGCATTGAATGCTCGATCAATTTATGGGTCTGTAATGGTGTCTTTTCCTCATAAGAGAAAGGGTGTTCTGTTATTCTTTTTTTCCATTATGTTTTCAAGAGGAATAGAAGAGAAAAAATAATGCTGATTGAAAACATTGTGTGGATTTGGCTGATTTATGCTTTAATTTGTGTTAAAATCAAAAGAGGAATTAGATTTGAAATGGAACTAATTAATGTAAACCTGAGTTGGGGCTGATTAGAATTACACCTATGGAAAAGAGAATGAAATTAGAATTTACATTTATCAACAAGTCCCCAATTACTAGTGTTTTGCAAAGGTCTTTTTGTATCCCTATTTTTCTTCCTTGTTTACTAGTGTTTTGGGTTGTTTATGGTTTACTGGTGTTTACTCAAGAACTAACAGTAAGATGTATTTATTTTCTTGCAGGTTGTGCACTTGTGCTTAGGGTTATGAGGTGGCACATTAGCCTCTACTTTAAAAATTAATGTGTTTAGTAACTTTTTCTTTGGATTGGAATTCCCGTTTTGGGGAAGTTATGCTTTATATGATACATAGGTTTGGGTTTGATTTGCTTAGTATTCAATTTCAAAATATATTTAAATATTCTTTGCATTTTTGGCAAATAAAAATATTAAATTTCATTAATATTAAAATCAAATTCCTTTTTTTTTGCTTTCTTATTAAGAGGTCTGATCCTGATTTTGTTTTGAATAGAAATTCCTAGGTCATTATAATAATTATGACACATCTCAAAAATCTTCTCAAATTTCATGCACTAAAGGCTTTCATAATTTGGTAATCCAACTCAAAGTTTTAATAGATGTGAGTTATTTTAATGTATAATCTCAAACATCTTCTTGTGATGAATTCTATGAATTTGTATTTTAATTATTGGGTACAAGACTTCAACCTCTCCTGAGTTTTGTATTAAATACTAAGACCTCCCTTATTAAATGCTTAGTTGTTATATCTAATGGAACAGTTTAAAAAGAAAAATATGGTCCTTTCTAGTCCAAATAACATCAGTTATCTTTTAACCCCTTCTTAACTTTGTAATATTTGGTTAATTAACATAATTACTTGACACCAAAAACCTTTTTGTAAAGAAGCCTCCACTTCTTCTCAGTCAATGGGCTTCTCTCTAGTGAAGGGTCTCTGGTTTTTTTTTAATCTATAATTCTGAAGTTTTTAATCCATTTTCAGACATTCCATATCTTTCCAATTGTCCCAAGCAAATTAGCTATCAGTATGCCATCTTCTTTTGTAATGGCTTCTTCCAAATTTCTGATTACTCGGCAATTCAAAGAGTGTACCCTTTGATAACCAACCATTCATAATTCATAATTGCATTGGAAATGTGCTTGAATCAACAATCATTTGGTCCAATACAGGTGAAAGTATAAATGCAGATAAGAGAAGCAGTTGGGTTATGTATACAAAGCTAATATGTTCTTAATTTATAATAGGAGAATACTGACTTTCTAATGCATCATGCTAAAACATCCTGGTAAAGTGAATTATGCTAAATTGACATAAAACTTCCCATAATCCTTTTTTTTTCTACCCCACAGGTTTCCTTTCTTATTCTAGAAGATTTTTGAACCAAAATTCCTCATTACATCAAGGTCATATTTATTTGATTTATTGGCTTATGTGGGTGGTTTTTATTTCCTATCCATCTAAAAATATGTAAAAGATTAGATGGTTAAGAATCATTGAATACACCATCCATTTGGATGTTGATCCTTGGTTCCTGACTACTTTGATGCGTGAGTAAAGCAGAGCCAAAGAGAATGGCTTGGTTTAATCTTCTTGACCTGATTTCTCTCAATCCCAACTATTTTGATAAAGTAAGGTATATACATGACTTTTATGTTTGTGTTGTTTTAGTTTTTGGACTTTAATGGTTTAATATGTCATGCTTAGTCTCATAATCTTTTATTTCTTGGTAGAAAGGTTGAACCTGAAAACTGCTAGTAAATTCAACTTTCTTAAGCAAAGTGGTTGTTTGACAATTGATGATGTGGATGATGCAAAGAAATTTCACATGTTGATGGTAATGTGAAAAATAATAGCATGTTTTTGTTACTACGCATACTAAATACCAAATTTCCAATTTAACTTGTGCTATCTAAGTTTCATAATGCTACAATTCTGTTTTCATATTTCTTTGTTCGATCAGGAGGTCTTAATATATGTTGACATGTTGATGTTCTTTTGGAGGATCTTTCCTTTTCGATCTCTAATTTTATTAATAGGCTCGTTTATAATTTGTCAGTGGGCAATTTGTGTGTGAATTCAACCTAGGTATAGATAGTGCATATTAGAACTCTTGGATGTTTGTTAAACTGACCAATTCAATCACACCAAAGCTTGAAATGTGTGGTGCATATTTATTAGGCGTTTTCTTCCAAGGAATTGGAATGAGGGTCCTAAAGTTGCATCTTCCCTATTATGTGATCTCTTTCCTTTTCCCTCTACTCTTGCAAATGCTTATTTATTAAATTATTTTTGTGTATTTTGTGTATGATTTCATGCACTAGGGTGCATCTGTTTGTGATCTCATGTGCTTATGCAGAACAAAAAAGTTTTTTTTTTTTTTTTGTTAAGATAGGTAGGGCAACAAGGTTTTAACATTGGTTTCAACATAAATGGTGAAAGCTTTGCTTTCTTCCCCTGCCCATCCTCTCCACTCAACTAGTAATAAGAAAAATAAGCCACTCAACTAGTGATAAAAAAGAAGGGTTATTTTGAGGTGTGCCATGACTTGGTTGAAGAATACTTGAAGCACTATATTTGACAACTTTTAATGAACTCTACGCATATCTTTTGATATGTGGACATGATTATATCTTTACTGTGCAGAATGATGTTTATCTTTATGCCTTTCTTATACAGCTATGGAGGTTGAGTTCACGAAATCTCAGATTGTTACTGTAATCCCAAGAACTTTTTCTATGCATGGCATGCTAAAGAGAAGCATTCGCTAGCCAACAATATATTGTGATTAGCATTCTGCATTCAGGTCTACTTCAAAGATATCAACACTTGTGTTCTACTTAGTTTTACCCCCCTCAAATGCTTATTTGATTTTGTTCCCTTCATTCTAGGTCCTCCAACACTTGTCGTACTGCACACGGACATGGCTATTCACACCCATTAAGCGCCTTAACACTCGATATCAACACAACTTAAGAGAGTTTGAGCTTGCGTGGCTGTATATTCACTTCCTACATGGAAACATCCTCTTCTATGATTACATGAAAAATGGACATTGTATTATCGAGAATTTGATTATTTTTTAATCTTTTCTATTTGAACTATTTGTTTTGGATATTATAATAATTAATTGTGAAATTAATAAATTTTTGTTTTAAATTGCATGTTTCTACATGCTTAAGTTTTATGAATAATTGTTATAGAATTTGCATTAAGCAAGTATTAAAGTAATAAATCAATAAAATTGCACGTGCAAAAGGTATATAAAAAAAAGAAAAAAATAGGATCTAAGCCGCGGCCATAAAGATCTAAGGTGGAGGTCAAAACCGCTAACTAAAATGTTTGGCGGAACCAAAGGTGGCGGTCATAAAAATCTAAGGCGGCAGTTCTGAATGCCGTCTGAGAGAGGAATGTAATGTAAGGTGAAGTCTGAGGCGGCGGTCCAGACCGCCACTTTTAACATATCTAAGCCGGCGGTTCTGACAAATCACCACTTTAGACACACTCGAACTGTTTCGGAGCGGTCACCAAAGGTGGCGGTCTTTCTTATCTGAGTCGGTGGTCCTGACCTAAGGCGGCACCTGCTTAGATGGCGGATGGAAGACTGCCGTCTTAGGTCTTTGGTCTAAGGCGGCGGTCTTTGGTCTGCCAGCATACTTAATCATGTTTTGCATCCAATCCCAGGAAAAAAACATTGGCCTACATTGAGTTGGGATCCAATACAAGCACCTGAAATCCCAAAAAAAATTGGGAGGCCAAGGGTACGGCAGTGTCGTACTATAGATGAAGGTCCTTCAACAACTAATCATGGTAGTGGATGAAAGAGATGGCATTGATCTCGTTGTAAAGAGTGTGGCCATAACTTAAGGAGTTGCTCCGGGACTAATCAAGTAGGACGAAGTGATACAACATCTAATATCTCAGGTAGGCGTTCATTGAGGGGAGGTGCTGCCCCATTAAGAGGGAGAAGTCACTCATCAAGCAGAGGTCCTACACCTTCAAGTAATTTGGTGATTGAGCGGGCAGGCCACAATGCTACAGCAACTCAATCTAATGTCAGGGTACAACCTACAAGGAATTTGAATTTTCAGCTAATTACTAAATTTTGTGTTATTCATCATATGGAAAAAAAAATTGGTTTCCAGTTCAATAATTGATGTAATTATTGGTTGCAAACTCAGAGTTCACAACTCAACCAACAACCTCAAACTGTGTGTTGGTACGGAGGTTTTCTTCCACCACAATCACACTCAGTTGCAGAGGTCAGTTGACGATTATATTTATTCCAAATTTTTAACTATAAGTATTAAAATTATTAAGAAATCACATGCCTATCACTATGTTATTAAGGTGCTCAATCTAGTTCCCAATCTCAACCATGCGTTGGTATGGGGGTTTTACTCAGCCACAGCCCCAACCACGTACGCAGTCACAATCACACTCTCAAGTTCGGAGTGGTCTCCATTTGCAAGAAGAGCAGTGCAGCCAAGAGTAAAGGTTTTCTCAACCATAAATGCTGATATAGGTTTGTCTCAAACTACAAATTTTTGAGTAGTGAACTCTGCTTACTGAATTGTAAAAATGCATCTTGATTGGTAAGCTAATTCTCTATAAAATCAGAGATGTGGAGAGGCTAATGAGTAGTACCATTCAACTACCAAAACTTGCATTAAAAGAAAAAAAAATTTAACAAGAGCACCTCCACTTAAAGAAGAGGTAATGGGTAGTGGAAGAGATACTGAGGGAAGTGAGTTTAGATGAGAAGAAGATGATGAAGAAGAGGTAACTGATGAGGTCCAGTTGTGAGAGAATGGGGGTATTAGTTGGAGCCATGGAATTGCAGAGGGCTTCTTTGTCTGATATATATGAGTCATGGGTCAAGCGATGGGGGTTCAAGTAACTTAATTGAACACACGGCCCTAGATGGTGCATTATGAAGGAGCAGCTGTTGTTGATTATGATGACGATCAGAACTGAATTCAAGTAAGGCATCATGCATAAAAGTTTTTATTCCTCTCTAGGCATGCTTATTATAATTAAGGCTTATTAGAGTGCTTTTTTATTCCTCACTTTTTTTTTTTTATGTAGGCGACAGCTCTAGTTGCAGTTCAAGTCAGGCAACCTGGCTTGCATTGCTGTGTAAACATGCTCAGCATGTCAAAGGGGGAAGTGAAAATGAAGGAAAATTTATGGGTTTCCTACTGAAGGAAAAATTTGTATTGTAACACTAAATAATTATAAAAAAGACTAAAGAGAATAATCAATTTGCAGAGTTAGATATAAGGCTAAAAAGATCCACTATGGTACCTGGATACCAGTACAAGGGTTCTATAGATACTTCAATTTTTTAGTGAAAAATTCGTATTGGATGTTATACCCAGTTGTGGGGTGGTCCCACTTAACACATGTAGGGCCTTTGCTAGTGAAACGTTTTGGGGCATCATATATTTTATTAAAATTAGGGGCGGCCATGACCCGAGCTCTTTACAAGCTATTCGAATTCGATTCAGCTTGGTTTCAACCAAGTTCGAGCCCAGTTTACAGGCTCGACTAATAAATGAACTGAGCTTGAGCCTAATTTTTTAAATATCGAATAAAAAATATTTTTATATATAATTATTTATTTTTATAAAACATTTTTTTTTCAAACTGAGCTCGAGCTGAGCCGAGCTCGAGCTTACGAGTTTTTGACTCGAGCCGAACTCGAGCCTTGTACTACCTTGGCGAGCCGAGCTCGAGCCTCGTACCATTCGGCTTGGCTCGACTCAAATCCACCCCTACCGTTATGTAACATTTTAGAATTCAATTTAGGACTCCTTTACATTTTCAGTCCTATGCCCCTGTCAAGATCCAACAGCTTGTGAGCTCTTGAAATTCAATTTCTCACTCCTTTACATTTTCAGTCCTATGCCCCTGTCTAGGTCCAACAGATTGTGAGTTCTTGAAATTCAATTTATGATTCCTCCTCCTTTACATTTTCAGTGTTGTGCCCCGTCTAGATTCAACGGCTTGTGATCTCTTCTTGAAATCCTTCTCCATGATCTTCATTTGATCAAATGTCTCTTTTACTTCCTCCATGTTGCCTGATGCAATGCAAACATGATTTCTGCAACTGAGAATTGTTGCAATATATGAAGCATAGGATTCCAGTTGCATCGTTACTGCTAGATGCAACCGATAGCCACACCATGTTCTCGGCTCGCCAATAGACCTCAGATGATGGCACAGTGACTCAAGTACAGCATTTACCACCACAAATTTCCCTCTCAACAAAGATGTAGACCAATTGCATTCATGGAGGAGCCAATGTTGGTGATGGACCTCGTTGCCACCATCACCATCCCAACAACTCAGAAACTGCATTTTATTTGAGATAACCATATTTCCCAATAGCATATAGCCATGGAATCTCACCTTCTTGATCCCATTAGGATACACTTAATCAGTTCAATTTTTAGATCTAAGCCACCTCTGTGCACAATCAACTCAAAAACTAGCTTAGTAATCAACAATCACCAAAATAAACTGTAAAATAAAATAAAATAAAATCCATATATAAATCAACAAATAAAAACTATTCATGGCTTTCTAAAAAAATAAACTATTCACAAAAAAATCAACTCAAAGACAATGCAGCCGTGGAGTTTGCTGAGGAGGTTCATCAGGATATGTTGGAGTGGTTTACATGCATTACACTATTTAAAATGCTTTACCATGTTTTGTTAAAAATGAGAACAGAAAGGATACTCACTGTGTTTGGTGTGCAATGCTTTACCAAGTGATTACCTGTTTTGCTTGATTTTTTTTATTCTATTTTAATTATTAAAAGCAAAATGAAATATTCGATTAGCTGTTTTTGTTTGGGTATGAATGAAACTAATTAAAGCCAATATCAAAGAACCTATATATAGAGGATAATTGATAATTTCCCTCATTCTGTGTTTAATTGATAAAAATGTATAAATAATTAAGGGGTAGTTGACCCCAAATAGTTGGATCCGGCTACAAATGGATCTACTAATTTAGAGGCTCTCTAGCTTAATCAAAGTATGCCTAGGTGGATCTGGTTAACTGCGATGCATTGATGACCATCCCAATTACTAATTAGGGTTACAACTTGGGCTGGGTTAGCCCAGATCCAATCTGTACCCTAATACCAAAAGGTCAGGTTGGGCTGGATTGCAACTTGGGCTGGGTTTACCTGTCCTTATGGATCTGACCCAAAAGTTTGGTTTGTCTAGTTATATTTTTGCTGTTATTAAAGTTTCATATCATTAAGTAGTTTAAGTGTTGTTGAGTTCTCTCATTTTGATCATTTTTACCTCTCCTTAACTCTGTCTGTAGAGCTTGTACAAATTAAGAATGGGCTGATGTACTATTTCTTTTGTTTAAATCCCAACTTGTGCACTTTATATCAGTTAGATCAGTTTGCAGCCTTGTCAGTTTGGAGGACCACTCCTTATCAATATTTAGGAAACCTCCTCCTTGATACATCAACTTTGGCCAACACATAAAGACAAAAAAATTTGATAATGTTCTTGTAATGTAACCACAATAGAAGTTTCATTGGATATCACATTTATACCTAAAATCCTACAGCGGTAGAAGCAACATAATACTCAAAACAAATAAAACAACTATTGCCACCAGAAGCAAGGTTATCCTATTTTTTACCTTGACTACTTCCAACTGTATCTCGTGTTTAAAATATGCTTGTTCCATTTTCATCTCGTTTAGTATATCCCTTCGAGGCAAATCTATTGTTGAACCATCGTCTTGCATTGTGTGAGAAATCTCATTTTCTTGTATATCCTTCCCATATTGGTCACACCACTTGAAGAATAAACACTTGGCATCTTCTTAAAAATAACAACACAATACTTGTCAAATAACATGTAAAATAATAATCAATTACAAATCACACCCTAAAGAGATTAAGGAGAAAGACTTACGCATCTGTAAAAGAATTTGTCTGTGACAATATCTTTTGCGCACATCACATTTCAACAGTGGTATAATAACATACTTATTTGTTGAAACACGAGAAGTCATCTTTCCTA